ATACACATGTTGCCAAAATGAGTTATACTTATATTTTAAACATGATTTTTAACATACGATTGTTGGGATTATGTTTCATCTTTTCTACAACAGTGTCAGTAGATGGTTTGCATTTTTAATGTCTTGTTTTAAGTCGCAGACAGTTGAAGTGAGTATTTCTGGCATTTGCTTTTAGTCCTTTACTCAGCCACTTTTAGATTTCATTTGGCCTGGATTCTACAAGGCTCTGCATTTTCCCTACAGGTCAGAGAGACCTGTGGGTTTGTACAATCTGAATACATTTGACTCACATATTACTTGGTTCAACTTTAATTATCAACACCAATAACTTTGTTGGTGTCTACGACAGTGTTTCTCAAACGTTTTCAGACCAAGGACCACGTAACCCATAAAAAAACACTCACGGACCACCTAACTCAAAATAGAGCCAAAATGTATTGTAACGGACTGATAGTTTCGTGTTGTTCATTGTTGTCACTGTTATCTGTGATTGTGTTGTGTTCAGCTGTTGTGTAGTTGTTGCTGAAGCAATGTGTTTTCCCATATCATTGAACGTGTCACGGGTTGTGACGCAGACGTTTGGACCAATGGTGGGGGTGGGATGATGGCATGGCTGGTTCCCCATTGGCCGGTTGTCAGCAGGTTCGGGCGTGAATGAGGAAGTGTTGGAGAGGGTGTGTGCGAGTGGAGCGAGAGGGAAGGAGAGGTTCAGAATGTTCTCTTGTCGTGGTCACGACCGACAGTAATCTGTAGAAGCTATAGAAAATAAAGTGGAGATAAACAGAACCGACGTTTCGTCTGTGGTATTTTTCACGTTCATGTCGAGTTTCTGCTTTGACGACGTCGCTGGCGTTAAACCATCATCCTGGGACTCGACGACTTTTCCAGTCGTGTCAGAATTTGAATCTGCTTTTCTTTTACATGACCCGGTCCTAAGCCACCGATCCAAGCTTCGAAGCTTTGCACAGGCACATTCCCGAAGTTACGGCAGGGTCCCACTTATTTTGCCGTAAAACGGTTGCGGTGTCTCAAACCGGTCCACTGCACTGCTCGAGTCAGACAATGCCTCAAAACAAATATTTTTAGATTTTTCATACTAGTTGATTTGATATTGAAAACAACACATGTATGTCGCAGGCAGTTTGAGAAAAACTGAAATTAAAACAGTGACATTTTAAATTATGAAACATGATGTTATTTGTGCAAATGAGACTCAATTATTTGTTGTTGTTTCAAACCAAATCCTTAGTCTTGTGCTTAGTGTTTGTTGCAGTTGTTGTTTCGTAAAAGGAAATAAAAGATGACATCTTGAGCTCCTCTGAAATTCCTCAGTTGATTTCGGGTTATTAAATCTGTGAATCTAAAGTCCAACAGTTTGGGATGGTTGTGTGTTTCCTGCTTGATTTCAAATGAGGGCACTCGGTTCGAAGTGTCCTTCTTCAAGCATTAGTTTGAATCGCAGTAATAACACAGGAGRTTAAAGCAGGGAAAAGGTCGTGAACTACACACACAGTACATGGAGGTGACAGCCGGTGCATGTGAACATGTATKTAACATGCTACAGCACAGCAGCGTATGTTTCTGCATAAATTATCGGTGCGCTGGCTTCGTGAATCCACAGACTAACGCATAGATCATTATTAGTTGTATATACTTTATCTGTACTCACCTGCGGCTGCGTAAAAACAATAGAGGGCAAGTCAGAGGAAACGTGATGTCGCATGACCACCATCTGAGTGACAGTCATTAAGAATAGTTAATAGAAAAAGACAATTTTCTTCCTCATTGTTGCATTTGTCGTTGTACCTCATAAAGAAGCAGCAATATTAAAATAAGACCAATTAAAAACTCATGTCCATCTATTAAAATGGAAATATACTTTCGGCTTCGGTAATTCATGTTTATGTCAGTAATTGTAATTAGTT